CTGTCTTCTGGGGTCAGGTGTCCTGCTCTCTGGGTCTAGAATCCCCAGCCTTCACAGGACCTTGTCCATCTGCCCCTGGGAAGTGGCTGCAAGGTGGGCAACTGTGCTGGAAAATCTCTCCGTGAGTGACTTTAGCCATGTTGGAGATGCCATATGTTATTGGCAAGAGGAATGCTGTTTCATCCATGTCTTGAAATCCATGTTCCCCTAAGCTGTGAACATCCATTTCTAAGACTCCAAGCTCCCCCAGCAGGGCTCTTCTGGGCTCCCCTTTCTGGCCATGCATCCCCAAGTGTGGCACTTGGAGGACAATCAGTACTTGTGCTGGGTAGGGCTTATGGATTGCTGGTTTGTCCTGGGACTCTAAGGGACTTATCCAATACCAACCCCTGAAGCATGGTTCCATGTCTTTACCGTGTCTCTCAACAAAACTCAGCCCCTGATTCCGCTAAAATGGTCAGAGGTCCATCTTCTAAAGAAGATGTTGAAGAAAAGATGGTCTATAGCTGAGTATTGTTTGTTTTTGTTTTGGTACCAGGGAATGAACTCAGAACCTTGAACTTGCGAGACAGGCAGTGGCACCAATGAGCTAAACCCCTGGCCTGAGTGCTGGTTTTTAACTGCTTTTTCTCCCACAACTGCAGAGACAATGCAGTTTGTAAAAAGAATGTGTGGGCTCTGGAGTGAGAACGTCTCAGCTCCACATCCCTCTTTGTCTGATACTGGCCATGTGATTTTGGGTAAGCCATGGAGCCTCTGCTCACATTAAACAGGTGACAAGAAGATGTGCTCAGAGGGCATGGTGCAGAGTGGACAGCCAACACATCATAGGGACAGGGGTCCTTTTCATGTATTCTAGTGTTGTGCTACCATAGCAAGGCTATGGCACAATTTTAACAAGCTTTGCTCCCCCTGCAGCAAGGGCTATCTAGAGGGACAGTAGCCCAAAGAAGTACTTTTCTTGCTGCGTCTCCTTTTTCCAGGAGGGGAAAGACAATGCCAACGCTTGGAGTCTGATTCTTGGATGTAGAGAGGTGTTTGACTGCACATAAGCACACACCAGAAATAACTAATTTTCAGAGGAAGATTAACTCCATATGCAGCTCTACTCAGCTTTCTCAAGGGCTCTCAGTGGTCCAAGAAATTCTTTCTATGTCAAAGCAAAGAGGACCCTTCCTGTCAATCTCAGGAATCACCCTGATTAGTGCATTTCAGGGGCATTTGTCTCAATGCCCAAGTCTCATCTATGAGTGACATTTCCCACCTCATTCTGTCTTCCCTGGTTAGGGAGATGCTACAGTATTAATTGATTTCAAGGGTTTTGAACAAATAGCCACAAGTATTTAAAGCTTCACTTTGCCTATTAGGGAAAATGCTGTTTAAGATAATTATTTTGCCTCTGCCTGACAGGAAGATTTACACAGAAGATAGAATTATTTTAACCTTTGAGATAAATCTGAAACCTTGAATCTCTGGTCTTTCCCTAGACTACATGTTTTAGAGCCAAAAATATCAAATTCCCAAATGCTGTAAGGAAAAAAAAAAAAAAAAAAAAAGCTAGCAAAAGTGTAACATCCTGAAGGCCTCATTGACCAGTTTCCCCTGGCAGCACAGCTTGTTAACTGGATGCTAAACAAGGCCCATGGTTCCTGCCCATCTGCAGGAGTGTCTGTCCCCTCTTCTGAGCTGTGACTCAAGTCAGGAGTCTGTCTCAGATGCTTTTGCAGCCCTGGAGTCACTGTGCTGGGCACAATGAGCACCTACAGTGCCACGTGCATCTCAATTGCTCAGGTTTTGAAGAGTTTCCCGTAATGAGTGGTGCAAAGGTCTGGAGATGGCCTGAGCTTGGGGTTGAAGCCTAATTATGGCATTTCTTGGCAATGTGGCCTTAGGTACATGTCTTCGTGCCTCAGGCACCTTATTGGAAACAAGGGCCTGAAGTTATCTCCCTTGCAGGGTTTAGTATGATGACCAAGGTAAAATACATGGTATCTGGCCCTTTGCAGACACTGAATAAATGGAGGCCACTTCCTTGACAATTACTCTTACACAGAAGAGAGAAAGGAAGGCTTCAGAAATGAGGGTGCTGGATGAAATGAAATTTCTCGGTTTAGTTTTCTGAGGACTCTCCACACTGATTTCCATAGTGGTTGTTCTAGTTTACATTTCCACCAACGATGTAGAAGGGTTCCTTTTTCCCTGCATCCCCACCAGGATTTGTTACTATTTGACTTCTTCATGATGGCCATTCTTTCTGGGGTAAGATGATATCTCTGTTGTGTTATTTGCATTTCTCTGATGGCCAGAAATGTTGAGCATTTCTTCACATGTTTATTGGGCCATTTGTACTTTTTCTGTGAATTTCTATTCATTTCACTTCCCTTTTTTTGATTGGGTCTTTTATATTGGAGGGCCTAGGTATCTTCTCGAAAGAGTTAAAGAAATGATATTACAGTGATACGTGCATATCTATGTTTACCGTAACACAATTCATAATAGCTAAACCTTGGAAGCAGTGTATGTGCCCATCAGCAGATGAATGGATAAAAAAAAAAAGTGGCATTTATAAAAAATGGAGTACATTCTGCCAAAAACTTGGGTCATCTGTAGGAAAATGAATGCACCTTGAGACTACAATGTCAAGTGACATAAATCAGACACAGAAGCTTAAACATCACATGGTTTCTCCTATATGAGAAACCCAAATTATAAATGAACAGCAAAAGAAAAGACAGACAGTAAGAAGTAAGGAGATATTTCTGAAATGGGAAGAGGATTAAGAGGTGGAGGAGTGGAGGTAAGAAAGGGGATAAAAAAGGAATTAAGGTGTCCTACGTACATGTACCAACTCCCCACAAGCAGTGGGGAGTACATACTGTTTAGAATGTACTACAAACATGTACTAATAAAAAACAATTAAAAAAGAAATGAGCAAGAACACATTATGCTTTGTGTATAAAGAGAGCCAAGGTTACCATGCTAGGAGTCTGTTCAATGTGAATGGCAGAGGAAGGAAGAGCAGTCACCCAACACACAGTGCCATCAGAATGAGTGTGAGAGACGGGGTAATATCCCTTTCCCCCCCAAAGATATCCCCATCCTAGCCTTCAGAACCCATGAATGTCACTTATAGAACAAGAAGGACTTTTCAGGAGTGAGTGGAAGGTCTGGAGCTGAAGACGACTCTAGATTATCTGCATGGGCCAACAGTCCTCACAAGGTCCTTGGAGACAGAAGAGGAGCTGTAGGGTTGAAGCTGAAAAAGACATGGAGAGACTGGAAGAGCTGTGCAGCACAGAGGAGGAAGAAGGCACTTCGGACTCTAGCACTGTGTGCTAAATTTGCGTTTTAAGCTTCTAAGTATGTGTTAATAAGACATCCATACAATGAACAGGGAACTACAGCCAAAATCACAAGCCACCAGATGGGCAAACTTTATACGGAAAATTTCGTCTCTGTGGGACACTGTTGATCCTGATGATAGCAGATAGCTGAGGTGTTGGGGAACCAAGAAGCAATGTGTGTACTTGGTGGAGACCTGGTGTTAATGGAGATGAGGTTCGAAGCCACCTTTATTCTTAGAAATGCTGCCATCCTTTGTCACCACACTTTTATGGCACCTGGTGGGTTGTTACCTGGAGCCCACACAGCTCATAATCACAGCCTGTTCAACACCGGCAGCCAGCAGAAGTCTTCAGAAAACACATTTTGTCAAGAAGTAGTATTTTTCTCTCCATTCTTCACATTTGAAAAAAAAAAAACACCTAAGTTCAGGTTATGCCAGAAACTTCTGAGTGAGCTTTTTGAGGAAAAAAAGTCACCTCTGGCCATGTCACTCACAATTTGAATTTCTAAATAATTTGTTACCTTGTTGTCCAGGAATAGGACAACAACAACAACAAGCCCTTAAGAGAGGAACAAAACCCAGCTCCTTCCGGAATAAATGACTTTCCCTGAGGGTCATACTAGGTACAAATAATGACGGCATATCAAGTTCAGAACATAACTATTGGTCTCTTTAGTTCTTGCAGCAGGTCTTACAGGGAGATTTGTAGTAACCTAACTTGCCACTGAAGAAAGAGGAGTTCCCACAGCCTGTAAATAGAGCCAAGGTTTTTTTTTTTTCTGTAGTGAGGATTGAACTTGGGACCTTGTGCTTGCAAGGCAGAGCTAAAACTCTGGCCCCATTAGAGGCAAGATTAAAGCTCACACTGGTTTGACTTTGAAACTTGTCCTTTCCTCTGTCCATAATGTGTCTGACATAAATGTATGGGGTAATTTGTTGAAAAGACATGGGATACAACACCAACAGCCAAGACAAGTGTTCTATGAAGAACTCTGGCTGATCCAACTTTGAATCTATTGCTTTCTATCACGCTGAAGTGCAGGTTGTGTATGAACACAAAGTGGGCTACAAAGGACCTGTGTAATGACTGGTACAGCCACTGACATGTAGGAAGTGTCAGAAAATAGAAGAGAATTACTAAGTAAGGTTATAGCAAAGACAGAGTGGTATAGCCTACTACTGTAAAGATACAATCTTGGAATCACTTTGTTTATGTAACCATACTGATACATTCTTAAATACGATGGAGCTTTGAGCACTTATTACTTGGAGGGTGCTAAAAAGCCATCATGGCAACCATCTTCTAAGCCAGATTTTCTAGGCAGAATAGTCTCAGCAGTAACTCCCATACCTCACAGTTTCCCTTAAATTATTCTGACCATGGCCATATAAGAAATGCCTTTACTAGGCATTGGGCACACACATACCCAGAACTGAAGTTTGAGGAAATAAGATGCAGGCTCACTATGTACAATGAACTCTCCTATTTTAGCTTATTTTACTCTACGCTGTCTGGTCGAGTCTGTTTGGTTGCCATGACCCACACTCTGACTCTGACTTAGTGATTCCCTAAGGACCCCCTGCTTCCATGCATGGGTTGTGCGTGTGGTTTGAAAGAGCTCCCCTAGACAACATGGAGAAATGGGGTCCCTACCTCTGGGGCGATGTAATCTGGTGTCCCACAGAAGGTCCTGGTCGTGACTCCATCCATCATGTGCTCCTTGCACATCCCAAAGTCAGCAATTTTGATATGGCCTTCTGAGTCCAGCATGACATTATCTAACTTCAGATCCCTGTGAGGAAGAACGTTAGCATGAGAGTCTCTCCCACAACATGTCATTGTTTACTCTGGAGCTGGTGAAACAAACCAGTATTTGACTAGTTGCCATCTGAATGGCATTTCAACCTCGAGTTCCTGGAGAGCAGGGCCAGGAATTACTGTATCCTGAATCTTCAGAATCTAATATAAAGCCTGGTACATGGGAGATGCTTAGCCAGTGAATGAACAACTGGCTGAACTACTGATTCTCAATCTTGGCTACGCCTATGAATTCAGAGATTCCAACTTAGCAGGTTTAGAGAGATCCCAGTCATTTGATGTGTTTCTATCCTGTACAGGGTTTGCAAAATTCAGAGTTTTGAACCATTTCTCCTTTCCCTTCATCATGCCTGCACCAGCATTCTTGTAATTACTCTTCAATTAATCCTTAAAGACATTCTTCTTTCTTTGGCATCAGAATTTCACTGCATCTTACAACTAAAAGAATTTAATTCAATAGTATTTTCTTGCCTCTCCCCAGTTCCCTGTGCTCTTTTCCTGCTGAGTGTCTGTAATCGCAATTCACTTGCCATTGCTCCCTGACCTCCATTCCAAATAAAATGTAGAGGAAGGAGCTGTCAGTGGAGTAAAACATGTTTTCTTGTATAAAGTAGAAATGAGATATAAAATCTTTGAGGTCTAGAAATCAGAAGGTGGCTCCCATTTGCCACAAGGGTGCAGAGAAAGGTGAGTCCCCTCGGTCTATGTTCCCTGAGGGATTATTATCTCCAGGTCTGAAGTCTCTATCTTGGAATTACATGCCCACCCAGGCCCCTCAAACCTGTCCTTTGTGCTGTTGCGAGGATACCTTTGATACAAACCTATAGATGATTCCTCTTTTATGAAGAAAGAACAATCCAATGGAAATCTCTGCTGCATAGAATCTGTAAAAGAAAATATGCTTCAGGTTTCTGGCTTGCTTCTTTGGACTTTTTAGATACTTTTTTAGCCTCAAATCCAGGCATCAAAGAGATAAGACAAGCAAGACCTTAAGACTTTCTGAGACCAGCATTGCTCTATACATGTTCTTCCAGCAGTTAGCCCTTCCCTCTGCCATTCCGTCACTCCAGCTTACCTGGGAAAAGTCAAGTCAATAAGCTACACGACACAGGTTTATTTTTCTTGCTAGGAAAGAGTGGGTAGGTAATTTACAGCCTAAAAAGTAATTCCTAACATAATCACTTAAACAGTGGGTACGTGTTAGACCATTCTATGTCAAGGATATGGTATAAGTAGAGAAAAATTCCATTTTCCTATTCATGGCAGAAAATATTGTTGTTTGGGATACAATTACTCCCTGGGAGACAAAGTAGAGTGGGTGCTGAACTGTTTAGCTGGTCTGTTCATTCTCTGAAGTGCTGGGATAAATGGAACATATGATGATTTATACCTGAGGTTGTCCTCTTAATAATTCATAATACTCCAGGGCAGTTACTACCATTACTTCAAAATCATTAATAGGTTAATATCTGAAACTTAGATTATGTGCAGAAGGATGTTTTAAAATTTACACAGCATTCAAGGTCTTTGAAGTCTGAGAAGCCACAGGTCTGCGCTTGGGCAAATATCATACCCAGGAGACTTAACACAAGCACACATCTACATGAGCAGAAAAGATGCCCTGACAATGAAGTCCAAGCTTTTATAGGGGCACCCTCTGAAAACCCCTCTGAGAGGATGGGATGGGGGAGGAGGAAACATGGGGTGACAGGAGACTGTTACATTATTTTCATGTCTGTCTATATATTTCAAAAAGTTTTCTGCAACACACAGAGAATGAAAGGGCATCGCATGAGGCATTTTATAACAAAGTGGCTTTTTGCCACCTGTTCTTTATAGCTCTGTGCTTTCAAGCTTTATCTCATAATTAGAACATTTTAATGCTGCTACAACTCATAAAGTCTCTTAAGAGGATAAGAATATTTCTAAAAATACTTTTTAAGTAAAAATAAAAGCAGAAAAACCTCCCTTTTTATTTTTAAAGCTCGCTACCAACAAATCCCCTATTGTGCCTTTAGTTAGTACTCCATAAGGTGGTAGACGATCCCACACAGGTCAACATTTCTTCTGATTGCTGTTTTAGATTGAACATTTCAAAAATCTTATTCATGCTTGCTATTTTCGTACACTGGCACACATTTCTGAGGAAGCAAAATATCCATCTGCTTAGGCTTGCCTCTGCTGAGCTTCCCAGGACTCTCCAGGGCCCGGAGAACCCGGAGGATGTTTTGGGTATTAAGGTCCCCTCCCCAACCCTCCACGTGACTCCTCCATCTTCACCTGGAGCCCATCCGCATCTCCACTCCCAGTCACACCCCGGTGAAGCATTCCAAGCTGAGTTGCAAGTAGTACCACCCTCCACCTTCACCCAAGCCTAACACGGACATCGCTTCAAGAGAGAGGCTCCTGTCTTCTCACTGCAACAGTCAGCTAGTTCTTGCCCTTGTTCCTCTATAATGTTTGTCAAAGACACTTGTTTCTCTTTGGCTCCAAGTTGAAGCCAAATTCTAGCTCCATTTCTTCTGCCATAGAAGATTCTCACCAATCCCCTTACACCAGCTTCTCCCTTCCTGCGTCCTTCTTTCCTCAGCGATAGGGCTCAGCAAGAGCGGAGTGAGATTGGTGGAGTCAGCCGATGGAGCCCTTTCTAATGCCTCTTCCTCAGCCGCCTCCCCGCAGGCTCTGCATTTATTATCCAGCCAACTCCTTGCCGTCTCACACTGCCCCGGAAAAGCTCTGCATCTTACACCCTCTCCTAGGAGGGCTGCCTCCTCCTCTCTGGTCACGCGTTCCCTGAGGGCATGCTGCTGTCACTCCCCAATTCTGGGAGGCCACGAGGAGGGGAGTGTGAGAGCCCAGAGTGGCGGTGCATCTCACAGCTTTGCGTTCCCAGTACCTGTGCACGGTGGGCGTGCAGCAGCCATGAGTGACTGACTCCAGCCAGGAGGATGGACCCAGGCGATGAAGGGAAATTTACTGGAAATGGAACAAACTGCTCCCCAGAAAACATCGAGATGGGTCTGTTAGTGCATCTGTCCCCTGGGAAGTTACAGCATTCAGCTCCAAAAAAGCAGAGCCACCCAGGAACATTTTATATCGCAGAGGTTCCCAGGTGGGAGCTTAGGGTTGTCTGATTTATAGGACTTAAAAAAAAATACTCACACGGCTTGTGGCTCCTTAAATTTCCCTACTTGCTGGATGTGGTACATGAGGTCCCCACCGTTGACGTATTCCATGACGAAGTACAGCCGATCCTGCAGACCAAGGTGTGCATGTGAGCGAGGCTCCTCCTCCTCGTTGCAGCCTCTGCTTGGCTTTCATACTAGTGAAACGGGGCTGCCCTGCCGCAACTGCTTGGTCTGCATCTCTTCGCCAGTTTTTTCCCAGTGAAAGAATAAGTAATACACCCCACTGTGTGAGGCCCTTGGGAAGGATAAGGTCATCGCATAACTGAATGATGGCTCTCTGTCAGTGCGTCTGCCTCCTGGTCACTCGTGCTCCCGATCATAGCAAGGGTCTCAACATTCTTCCCTTTTTTCCTATCCATATATTTCTGAGCCAGGGAAAGGGTGAAAAGTCTACATGGACCAATCATTTCGTTTTAACCAGTTTTTCTTGATGGTACAAATGCATAAAAGCTGATTTGCAATGTCTAGGAGGCATTTCTGTGCGGAAGCAGTAACTGATTCAAATGGATGCCTCTGAAAACACATCTTTTGGGTTAGACTGGCCTTATAAACTGTGGATGCTTAACGACATTTCCTGGGTGGGGCAGAGGGAAGACCATAAATGGAAAGGCTAGTAAATGCTCTTTTGCAGCCATAATGTGCCTAACTACCTTTTCCCCTTCTGTCACTGGTAAGCTAAGTGTTGGCCCCACAAAGAACCACTTAAGTCTGCATATTTTTACAGGCATTATGCTGGGATAGATGGGAGAGAAAGAAGGATTTACCAGTGAAAAAGCAGCACACCACGGTAAGGGTTGACCTCTGTTCTCTTCTAGAAAACATCCCCATTTCAAAGAGGTTATTAAAACATTAAAGTGCTGCACAGGGAAGGAAGGAAGGAACAAAGGAGCAGAAAACAGTTTTGGGAGCTGCACCTTCTAGCTTCTCTGTTATGAACTTTAATGTCACTTTTGTATCCAGAGCTTAATCTGCATAAGCAGGGTTAAAAACTCAGGTTCAGAGGTGTGGCTCTCCTTCCTGCCTCACCGCTCAGTTCTCCCTGGCACTGCTGGGTTCTGGAGTGGGTTCTGGGAGCTATTCAGAGCCGGCAGAAGTGACCCAGTGGCCAAGGCGAGGCTGGTATGAAGCGGCAGGCACCAGGCTTGCAGCTTCCCCTGCTCTGACACTGGGTGTGGCTGCCCTGCCATGTAGGGATTCTACTACTCAAAAGCTTGGAGAGTACCTTCTGAGGATTTTGAAAAAGGACATAAAACACAAAGTCAATTTCTGACCTTGAGACAGTCGAGAGTAGTAATCATCTAACAGTAACAATATAACTAGATTACTGAGCCATACTGAAGAGGGTCAGCTTCTAGGTAGGGAAAGCTCCTCTGGAAATTCCTCACTCTGGTGCCATCTAAGCATCTAGATAGCCTGTTAAATACTTGCAAGCTCCACCACCAGTGAATCAGTGTCTTGGGATTTTTTTGTAATGTGCTTACACAGTTTAATTCTGTGACCAAGGTTAGCAAACTTTTTCCACAAGGGGTCAGAGAGTAAATATTTTAGACTTTGTATGTCTTGCAACTGCTCACCTATGGTTTTGTGGAGTGAAAGCAGCTGTAGGTGACAAGTAAGTGAATGAACATGGCTGTGCCCCTACAGAACTACTTATGCAGAGATGTGATTTTCATTAATTTTTCACATGTCATGAAATACTGTTTGGATTTTTTTGTGACCTTACTTGGAGCTCATGGGCTGTAGAAAACAGGTCATGGTTTTCCACTCCTGATGTGTGTCATTAAACAAGAACACAGTTTTATGAAATGGACTCTTTTAATGTTCTAATGTCATGCTTGGCAGATGGACCAATGGTCTTAAAAAGCCAGAACTGGGAGTTATTTCACCGTTTCTATATAGCACTGTACCTGGCATAAAGAAAACTGCTCACATACAGTCCCCAGGTCTTGTGGGGAAACTGGTTCTAGCACCCTCCAAGGATACCCAAATCCTCAAATGCTCAAGTCCCTTACAAAAAATGGTGTAGTATATGCATACAACCTATGTAAACCTTCCATATATTTTAAATCATCTCTGGAATACTTATAATGCCTAATGCAATGTTAAAGCTATGGGAATAGTTGTTATATTGCATTGTTTACATAATAATGACAAGAAAAAGTCTATAGATGTTCAGTGCAGATGAGATTAAAATTTTTTTTAATCCATGGATGGCGAAATCTGTGAATGTAGAACCGAGGATATAAAGGCCAACTGTAAGTGCTTGTGAATTAAATGGAATGAATTTTAAGCCTCTAACCAGAAGGGACAGCACAGAGAACACATGCCCCAACTCCATCTGTCAGGAGGTGATCGCTGTCCTTGTTGCCTCTGCTGGGTACCCTTTCCACCTTTCCTCAGGGATGCTGAGAAGCTTTGGTTCAGGTACAGCCCAAGAGCAAGCTGGGTGCTGTGCCACATGTACAGCCCCAGGGTCCTCACCACGGTCTGGAAGCAGGAGTGCAGCTGTGTCAGAAACGGGGGCTTGTCCAGCAGGGCCAGGACCCGCTTTTCCACCATGGTGCACTCCACATCATCATCCTGAATCACCACATCCTTCTTCAGGATTTTGACTGCGTACAGTTCTTCTGTTCCCTTCCTGTCAGCCAGCATCACCTGGGAACAGAAGGAGAACAAGTCGAACATTTCCAAGAAGAATCTGGTCCTGGGAGCTGGGATGGGGAAGCAGGCTAGGTGATGATGGTTCAGCAACAGTTCATGCAGATCTGTAGATGTGTGACAGAAAAATAGTAATAGACTTTGCTATGATTTGAATAGACAGGGTGGTGTCTTCCAAAGGTCCATGAGTTACCTTGGTGCCTGAGGCACTGCTACTGGGAAGTGGTACAGACCTTTTAGGGTGGGGCTTTGTGGCATCCTTAGATAACTAGGGGTATGCTATGCCCTCAAGGATTGTGTGGTCTTGGTCTCTTGTTTCTTTGCTTCTTAGCTGATGAGGTGAACAGTTTGCTGTAACACATTTCTGCTGTGATGTGCTGCCTTGTCAGAGGCCCAAAGCAGGGGACCACTCAATCATGGACTGAAACCATCAAAGCCATGAGTGAAAATAAAACTTTACTCTTTACAAGTTAGTTGCCTCAAATATTTTGTTATAGTGATGGAATGCTAACACAAAATTTCTGTACAAATATTGAAATACTGCATTATCACCATAATTTAAATAAGGGGAGGAATGAAATAAACTTTATTAAAAAAGCAAATTCTTCCAACATTTATTTAACTTCTTAAATTGTCGAAACTTATATACTGGGTGTTATATTTCCACACAGTGATGCTATCTAGGCTGCTAGAAGGAATTGTCAATATTCTTTACTGGGATTAGCCTGAAATTATGCATGTTTTCGTGTGAGTCTCTTTAGAGTAAAACATGACTGACATTTACAATCCCCCAAGTCCAGACAAAGCAAAAGATGGGATGGAAATCTGTCTTTGGCTCTGTCTTGGTGTGTGGGGCTGCAGAAGCCAAATGAAGATGCACAGGCTGTCAGCTGCATGGCCCCACTAAGGAATCCCTTAAGGATCACATGTGCTTACACGTGTGTTGGTCCACTTGACCAACATTTTGGAGCATGCCCTCTGTTATGAACACTGGAACACATGAACCTGCTCTAGCTTTTTGGATGCAGTTGTTTTTAAGGACGTAAAAAATGTATACAAATAGCATGGAACATAAATGGCTGTTTTGGAAACTTCAGCGAGAAAAAAACTGATCCAACATTGTCTGCCCAAGACCCTCCACTTCTTACCTTCCCAAAACTCCCCTTCCCCAGCACCATGAGGAAATTGAAGTCGGTGAGCTTCACTCTGTCAAGGTTATTGGAAGGCTGTTTCCTGTCTTCTGAAGGACTAATTACTTTGTTACCAGCAGGGCCAAGCTTGGCTTTCTAAACAACAAGAACAAGCAAGAAAAGCCACTGGTCATTTTTCCTAGATGGGACAGGTAAAAAACCTGAGATAAAGAATTCATATGTGGTTGTGCATCAATGGCTGTGTTTACCCTATGGGAAGGTCTGCAAAATGGCAGACACTTGCCCTGCCCTACGATGAGATAGCTACACAGGTAAATAAGAGGCAAACCATAGGAATCTGCCAAGGGCAGGTAGATTTGAATTCTAGAACACAGAGTAGACTTACCAAGGGGAAAATAATGCTTTGAGACTTTAATGCAATAGAGAAAATAAACTGTGTCTAGATGATTTTTCATTTGTAGGTTTTAAAATTTAAATGTAATGAAACCAGCATAAATGAAATTTGTACTCAGATGAAAAGAGAGAAGAATGTCCTCTGGAGAGGATATACTTAAATAGCAAGGTGTATAGCTACTTTCAAATGCACAGTAGGAAGAACAGGTTGTTTTAAAGTCAAGAGTTGAACTCATGAAAAGAAATGGTGATGTGTATGGGAATCTGATTGTACCTGAAATATACCGTGTCCTTCACACCCGAGGAATACCTGGTAAATAAATAATGCTTCAGATACCAAAAGTAGGTTTTATACACTAGACTCATGCCACACAACAGCCTTAGATGGGGCCACACCATTATGACTGTCATGGGGAATCGGAGTCAGAGTCCTCACCTCTCAATGCGGATAGGTGAGAAGGCACAGCAGAAAAGGGAAGGCAGATAGGAACCATGGGGAAGAATGTCTCAGCAGTCATAAAGAAGGCCCTAGAGAAACTGAGAAGGTTGGAGCAGATGCAGAATCCCACCCACTGCCACACTGCATTCTGAGTGTCTGCCTGCTAACAAGGCAGCCAAATGCAGAACACATTAGGTGCTAACACAGCCAAGACCTGCAGCTGGTTGAATCTTCACAGCCACAGCCCTGAGCCTAGAGGAGAGGACTCTTGCTTAAGTTCCACTTTTCATGAGAGGCACCCTCCTTCCCAGTGCAGCAGACCTGACCAGTGTGCGGCTTTGCAGTCTCCAGCAGTTGCCAGATATCACAAAAGGTTACACCTTCGTGATGAAATGACTGAGAAAATGGAAAGGAGGTAAGGAAGGCACTCAAGGGGCCTTTGCACTATGAACCAAAGCACTGGTGGGCTGGTTCTTTGCTTTGGGGCAAAATGTATGACTTGCAGGTTTTTCTTTTGCAGCAGACAAGGCTTCTGAACAATCATTTATGCTTCCTTTGAAGCACCAATATCCTTCATCCCTCACTTACCAAACAAACCATTATATACTGGGCTTTACTGGGGAGACCTTACCCTTGCAGAATGAACCTGTGAGCTATCTCTGGGTTTCCAACCTTAGCAAAATCCTCGACACAGGATAGGCACTCCGTGTTTCAGCTGAATAAAGAAATGAAACACTGTTGGACTGCACTTTCTCTTCTCTAACACAATCACTTATTTGTGTAGGATCAACCCTCAGGGTGTGAGTAGACGTCCTCATGAGCTGAGGACACCCACTGAAGCAGTGATATGGAGAGATGAGGGAGAGATGGCTTGGCATTTGTGTTCAGGGCTGCAAGTACTGACTATGGTTGTGCTTGCTGGGAAGTTCAAATTTTTCCTCTGAAAGTCTGGTGACAGAGTCGGCTTCAACACACTGGCAACAAATGAACAGGAGAGAAAGCACAAACATTCACCTAGAGTGCACAGGTATGCAGGAGCTGTGCAAAATACAAAATGCAAGGAGGTACAGTTGAGGGAGGCTTTGCAAGGGAGTGGGATGGGCAGGGTAAGGCCTTTAGAGGAGGAGTAAATCCTTTTCAGCAAAGAGAAACAACTTAGAGCACAGACAGTGGCCAGGTGTTTGACTCTCAGTCTTCTCTGTGATGTGACTTTAATCTTCACTGGTGAGTGGAATATCAGTAAAAGTTGGAGGCAATTGTGTTCTTTGGCAGATCTAGTCTTTAGGCTACTCTCCAAGTGCTCTCAAGAGATTCAACATAGCGTGTTTTAGGGTATCATTTTCTGAGCCCCTACTTGTTCTACCACTATTGGCCCAGCATGGAGAGACTCACGTGAACTTGGGTGACTGCAAACACTGAAGGTCCATGAAGACAAACATGACCCGCAGTGGCACAGAGTCTGGTCTCCTTCAGCAGAGGATAGAAGGAGTGTTAAGGCAAGTTTGTGAGAAGGAGTCAAAGTCCTCCAATTAGGTTCCATTAGGGCCTCAATTGTGGGCCCAGCCCAGGAATAATTCCAAGTTAAGAAACTTTATGGTCTGTGTCTAAATTCATGTATTATTTATTTGGTACCGGGGATCAAACTCGGGACCTTGTGCTTATGAGGCAGGCAGCAGAACCACTGAGCTAAATCCCCGGCCCATCTGTGTCTAAATTTAAAGAATTATGGGGAAGTCTAAGCCTGAGATGAAGATGCAAACTATGAAACTTCTGATTTAGAAAAAAGTTATTGTGAAGACGTACAAAGAGCAATTTTATTTATCAGGAACTTCACAAGAACATCCCACCCCCCCGCAAAAAAAATCCCAGACACTACTGACTCATGGATCTGAGCCATGTGGTACAGCTGAAAAGCGTTACACCTGGAAAAGTCGCCGTTCACACTACCTGTGATGCTGTATGTTCCCCGCAGCATGTGGTCTCTCGTGTGATGCCTGACCCATTGGCCTTCTTAAATATCCAGCCTTTCTTCCTCCCTCCCTTGGCCCTCAACTCTGCTGACAGAGAAGGTGGCCTGCAGGTGATGGCCCTCTGGACAGACACTGGGGCCTTTTACCCAGGATATATCTGTTGCTCCCATGGCTGGGTCATAACATTTATTATTTTTTATACTATGACCTTAGTCTCGCTATAGGGACAAGATATTGCACACAGTTAGGCTAAAGGGATATGAAGACCAAATGTATATACATACATACATACACACACACACATATATATATACATATATATATATATATAATTATTGTTTTTATTCAGTACTTCTGAACCCAGTTGGAGTCAATTCTGAAATCAAGCCATGAAATTTTGAGGAACATCAAGGAAGGAGATTCCCGCTCACAGGAGCTGAAGCAGGACAGACAAGCGCCGCTGGGGCTAAATCCACTCTCCTGTCTCTTTAGCCAGAAGCTAACGGGTTGGGTTTTCTGTGGCTGGCAGTGCAGGTTGATGGGTTGGGACGGAGGCCACTGCACTGAGGCCAGAGCAAGCCAGGCTGGCACCAGCTGCACTCGGTGTCAGAGGGCTGCCTGCTCAGTGACGTGACTTGGAGGGTGAGGATGAGTTGCACCCCCGCCTGAGCCAGCCCCAGGTGAGAGCTGACAGCATCTTTGTGCAGTTGTGCCATCCTGAGTGGCATTCCCCATGGTTTTCTTCCCCAACACCCTGAGCCATTCCACACTGCCACCTGCAGGCCTTGCTGCCGAAGGACTCGGAGCTGTGCTATCACAAGCTCAGTCTGGGTAATGAATAATGGGGTTGGAGAAGACTGACACTGGACATCTGGCTGTGTCACTGGCTTGGAGTATGCTGGGGATAGCCAGAAAGGACTCCTAGGTGGGTAATAGGCCGGGGCTGGGGACCAGAAACTGTGGACTGTCTTGACCTCCAGTCCATGGGGAGTACCTTCTTTGGCCAATAACCACAGCTCTCCTTGGTCTGATGCCTTTCCCTATGGCCTGTCACTTCCCGTCATGGCACCCCAGGATTTTCCTCAACAGTATGTGGGAATCAGAGCATCTTTACTTATATGAGTGTCTTTATCTACTGTCTCTTGCAATCAATCACTACTCTAGATCATGCCTGATCTACCTTCAAATTACATCCACAGTGTCCTTCCTCTCGTGGCCCCCACTTCTAATGGCACCACTGCGCTGCCTGGCTGGTCCTCCCACGACCACCCCTGCCCTGCAGTCTGTCTACTGGAAAGAGCTTGTTAAGGTATCAGTGGGAGGCTGGTCCTATCCTGGTTTTACTGGTTTCTGTTTGACCCAGAAAAAGGCTGGGTCTTTTAAAGGTGATGCTGAGGAGAATGCAGCTCCCCACTATCTTCCTGCCTAGTTCTTGCCACTCTGTCACCTCACACCAGCCGCTCTAGCCTCCAGCACTTTGTCATCCTCTTCCTGCCTTGGACCCTGCCCTTCCTTTTCTGGAATCTTCTTTTATTCCTGCCCAAGACCACCCAACCAGAGTGGTTTTACCATTGGTCCCTCTTCCCCACTCCATCCCTTTCCGCCTCCCTCCTGCTATCATTTTCTTTTCTGTGCTCACTACCTGACTGTGAGTCTGAGAGCAGGGCTGTCTCTTGGTTCTGTTCATCCTCAAAATCCAGCTTCAGTCTCCCCAGAATGGCCAACCCGGGCAGACATTGTCTGTGCTGCACTCACCCTGAGCTTGCAGCTCTGCACACCGGTGGACACCCGAGTCTGCCTGGGGTTCCATTCTGGCTACCATAGAGTAGGCCTGAGGGCTCTCAGGTTACTAACCTCACAACCACCCACAGCTTGAACTACCAGCTGCATGCAGCACTATGCTCCAGTTGCCTTTAGGAATCAGCTGGGTCACATCCTACTCCCCACAGTGTCTCTGGGGAGCCTTTACAAATGACACTCTTCTCAAATCTAATGGCTGAGGAGACTTCTGGGGAATTTAGACAAATATATCACTTTCTTCCTGGACTTACTGATCTATCTTCCTCACTAGACTGTGTGACCCTGGAAAGTAAGGAGTATGTCTTACTCAACTTTGTGTCTGTAAACCAAGCACTATGCCAGGCACACTGTTCATTAATTCACATACATGTTCATTAAGTAGCTACAGCTAAAAGAATTCTCAGAGGCCAATGGATACCCAGCTCCTTGGCCAGATGACCAATTCTAAAAAAGAATGGTTGTTACCAGGTGGTTGTTGCAGACTATCACACCTGGATTCCATACAGGATGCTCATACACAATCTGAACTCTCT